TTACTTGCTCTGAGATGTAACCAACATAAATCCCTAGAATTTTAACGGGATGTTTTAAATTACCCAACATAATTCTTACAATTCATCATAGTTCCTTAATTCTATCCTTCCACTTATCTATCCAAAAAAGCTTTGTTTTTTTTATTTTGTGTAATGGCATACCTAGTATTTTACAAAATAATTCATTAGTGCTGATACTGCAGTACTTAAATTATTTTCATTTCCAACCTCCAAAACCGTATCATCAGCTAATTGGCTAAGGTGCAAACGCCTTGTATAATATGACAAAAAGTTATGCTAACGAATTCCCAGATACCAATTTCGTCATTTCTCTGGGTCTAGCAAGAGTGGGGGGAACTCAATTTCAAAACGGAGAAATCAAGCACGCAATGAGACTTGACAATCTACCTAACCTGACATTTTGTGATAACAGCAATTTTCGTAGAAATGGAGATATTATTTACCCTTTATTTGCCCGAGATGGATATAATTTATTTCAGGAGGGAACTAGGCTTCTTTCCAGCAACATTAGATGCAAAGTTCAGGCAGCTCCTAAATTGAGACGTCCGAATACAGTCCTCTCTCGATATTGATATTGTTATTTTACTTAGTTTTTTAAACCCAAATTAGATTTGATTCATTACCATGGAATGTAACATGAAAATATATTGTAGAACAAGAAAACATAATACTGCCATTCCACGATCTTAATGATATTGAATTTCCCCAGAGAGCCTACACTGGAAATCATATTGTTATCAAGCATATGTTAAATAATATAAACAAAGGCTTAAAATTCGATCCCCTAACTTCCAGTGATGATTATATTTATGATAACGAATTAAAATTGATATGCAGCTTCCATGCTTACAAAGTAGCTTATCCGATAGAAGTGATTCCCTCAACAAATGTAAATACTTTGACATGAGATGACTTACATAATTATTTTAAAGACATAGACAAAACAGAAATTGCAATGATTCACTTCAATACCAGAATCATAAGTAAACATTCGGAATGACTTAAAACGCTTCTTAAGTTTATAATTATTGGGGTCACCGAAACATGGCTAAACCAACTCTTCCTGGTTATACTTTTTTTTTCACGTTGATTGAAAAAAACAAAAAAGGAGGCGGAGTTGGTATTTACATTTGTGAGGGGTATAATGTTATTGAACGAAAGGATATCAAAATAGACAACTGTGAATTAAACAGTGAATACCTTTTTATCGAAATAATTAGTAAAAATAAAAAAATATAATTATTGGAATTGTATATAGACAACCTGACCTCTCTGTTGAAAATTTCTAATCCAATATTATGATGGAACTTTTTTTTAAGATAAATTCAGAAAACAGAATTTGCCATATTTTTTGGAGATTTTAATATTGCCCTTATGAATTATAGTAAAAATAATCAAGTTAAAACTTTTATCGAAAATATGATGGCAAATTCCCTCTTCCCCCTTATATCTGAATCAACTTGGATAACAAATACATCAGCAACCCTAATTGAAAAACATTTTTACAAACCAAATCAACAGAGAGGTTACCACGGGTATACTTATATCAGATTTGACTGATCATCTACCTGTGTTTTACATTGAAAATCTGTACAAAATACACATAAACCTAACAAAGAAAATCATATTATGTATAAATATCTGTTAATGATGAGTGAATTCTAAATATTATTCATTATTTATAAAAAAAAAAAATAGTCTGGACAAGTGTAATCCTTCAAAAAAACCCAGATATTGCTTACGACATGTTTCATAGTATTATAAACTGATCTATGATAAACATGCTCTAAAAATTCAAAGAAATTCAAGTAAACTTAAACAGCAATTGGTGACAAATAGATTATTAAAACCTAGCAAAAAGAAACTTAAATTTTACAAAAAAATACTTAAAGCCGCAAAACCCCAAAGACAAAGAAAACCATGATAAATACCGTAACGTGTTTAATAAATTATGTAAAGAACGTGTTTAATAAATTATGTAAAGGGACTTCTATAATATCCGCATTATCAAAATGCCATAGGGACATGAAAAAAACCTGGGACATAATGAACTCTGTTATTAATCCAAATAAGACTAAACTAACATTTCTCGATATTATAAAGTATAATGATGACACATTTACAGATCCCACTATAACACCAGGACAGTTTAATAATTATTTCATTAACATTGGACAACAATTATGCAAATAAATAAACTCTAATGTCAACCCATTACGTTATTTAAAAAACAGGCAAGCTAACTCATTTTACATTAAACCCGTTACAATTAAAGAAATATCTTATTCTAGACAACAATAAGAGTTCCTTATATAATATATCAACAAAAACAATAAAAGGGATTTCACAATTATCGTAAGTGCCCTAGTCAACATTATAAACTGTTATTTTGAAACTGGCATTGTTCCCGATAAAATAACAAATTGCTAAGGTTCTCCCAGTTTACAAAAAAGGAAAACGTGATGAAATTACAAGTTACCGGCCGATATCTGTGCTACCTGTTTATTTTCCCTAAAATTTTCGAGAAGGCAATGCACAATAGACTATATGACTACCTAACTAAATATAGTATAATATTAAAACCCCACCAATACGGATTCCGTGCTAAACACTCCACCTCGCATGCTATCCTTGAACTAGTTAAAGCTATCCTAACTGATATAAAATCATCACTATCTGAAATTACTTGTGGGGTCCCCTATGGGACGATTTCTGGCCCTTTGCTATTTATACTGTATGTAAACAATATAATGTGTTTTATGGTGTAATCTCTCTATTAATATAATAATCAGGATAGCTTTCAATATTAGTTTCATTAACATACTTTATTAACTCGTGTTGCATATATATGCAACAGTAGCTCAGATAAGAAAGGATGAGGGAGCAGTAATGAATACGGAGGATGTTGTTGGGTAAAAAGGCTAATCTAGAAATGATACCAAGGCTTTTGGAAACTTTACATTCAATTTTATTGATGTGTTTTTTCCAAGTTAAGTTGTTATCTAAATGGACTCCTAAAAATGTTGCTGTTTGGACAGAGGGAATGACATTGCTGTCAATAAAAATTTCATGGTTTGATAGGTCAATATTTTATAATTTTTGAGGGGTCCCAAACAGAATTAAGTTACATTTTGTATAGTTGATTGAGAGGTTATTCGCAGCGAAGTATTGGGACATGAGAATTAGATTAGAATTAACAGTATCGAATAAAGATTGCATATCTTTTTCGGAATAAAAGACGGTAGTGTCATCGGCATAAAGGAAAAAATTGAGAATAGAAGAAGAAAGATGAATGTCATTAATATATAAAATAACTAAGAGGGGACCAAGTAAAGAGCCCTGAGGAACACCACAAGTTACTGAACTGAAATTTGAAGTTGAATTACAATATTTGGTACACTGAGCACGATTAGAGAGATAACTTCTGAAGAGCTTATATGCGGGTCCACGAATTCTATAGTGGGATAGTTTACGTAAAAGAATATTATAGTCGATAGTGTCGAAAGCCTTGGACAGATCAATAAAGATTCCAATAGAAAAATCGTAATTTTCAAATGCAGTTACAATTTTGTTTGTTAGGTCAATGAGGGCTATGGATGTACTGTGAACCTTTCTGAAGCATTGTTTATTGTAGAGGATGTTGTGTTTGGAGATAAATGAGAATGTTCTATCCTAAATTACTCTTTCCAAGGCTTTCGAGAATATGGATAGAATAGAGATAGGGCGATAGTTAGAAAGATGGTTAATGGTTAATGGTTATTAATTTATAGAGCGCAAAATACAAAAAGTGTCTAAGCGCGATCAGGCAAGTGTAAAGATGGAACGGAACCCAAAACCACAAAATAAAAAGAAGTGAAATTCGAATACCATGCCAACACCCAAACCGAAGTATGGGGATACGCCCTCATCGCTGGCTAGGTTTCAATCTAATTGAACTACAGTCAGCACCTGTTGAGTCTCGGCCATCTCGGATTCGGGCGCCTCCTATCCTAGTTAAGGCTATAAAAGTTAGCTGGCATGGAAATAGAAAAAAATAAAATAAATTAAAGGGACGAGAATAAGTGGGTCTTATGTCGTTCTTTAAAAATGGTGACAGAAGGTGACTCACGAATAAATAAAGGTAACAAGTTCCAAAACTTGGGCCCAGCAACCATAAACGATCGCTCCCCACAAGACTTTAACCGAAAGGATGGACAATAAAGATTGATTGAGTCAGTTGTTGACCGGAGGGAACGAGTGCAAGTTGCAGAACGAACCTTAATTAATTAGGAAATGTATTGAGGGGATAACTTGTGAATTTATTTGTAAACATATAAAAGTACTTTGAATTCAATACGCTGTTTCACTGGCAACCAATGAAGACGACGAAGAGTAGGGGTGATGTGATGGAATTTAGGTGTCCCAGTGACAAGACGAGCAGCGATGTTCATCAATAGCTGCAGCCTTCTAATTGATGTAATGGTATTCCGTAAAAGACTACATTGTAATAATCCAATCTTGATGTAACCAATGCATGTACAGTTTTGATGTAGCATCTTCATTTGAAAAAACGCCTAACTGCCTTGATGTTGCGGAGATGGAAAGATACTACTCTGCATGTGTTTGTAATATGTCTAATCATGGATAGGGTGGAGTCAAACGTTACACCGATATGTCGCACCTCAGAAGATGGAATGATGTAGGTGTCTCCCACGCGGATGTTTTCAATGATGGGTACATTTAGACGGCGTTTAGGCTTTATATACAGCACTTCTGTCTTTTCTGTATTGCAGCAAAGCATATTGATAGACAGCCATCTATGAACATCATCAATACAACCTTCTAAGTTGCGAACTGTCTCTGCGGCAGCCTCCGCGGACTAAAAGATGTGTACAACTGCGTGTCGTCGGCATAAATGTGATATTTAATACCGTGTTTCTGAATGATGTCACCAAGAGGACGTACGTAAATAAGGAACAAAATGGGCCCCAAGGTAGAACCTTGAGGAACACCAAAATTCACTGGGCCTGGAACTGAAATGGCTGATTCCACTCTAACAGACTGTTGTCTAGATTTTATGTAAGAGTTGAACCATGTTAATACTGTACCAGAAAGCCCTAAAGCTGAAAGTCGATCAATGAGGATACTGTGATCGATGGTATCAAACGCGGCGGACAAATCGAGGTACACTGATAATGTACAATATCCGTTGTCAAGGGCCTGCAAAATATCATTATTAACTTTCATTACAGCAGATTCCGTACTGTGTGCTTTTCTAAAGTCTGACTGGTAAGAATCAAATAAATTATTGGAATTTAAAAACTTAACAAGAATTAAACAGACAACTTTCTCAATGATCTTGGCTACAAAAGGGATATTAGTAACTGGCCGATAATTGATAAACGAATGAGGATCCAATGTTGATTTTTTCAAGAGTGGCGTGATAATACCAATCTTTAAAGAGTCAGGAAAAATGCCGGAGGATAGGGACGAATTGACAAGAGAACGAAATAATGAGACAGTACAATTGAGTTTACGAACAATCTTGGTAGGGAAAGGATCCAAATCACAAGATTTCGGTGCCATAGATATAAGAAGTTTTGCAACCGTGTCTTCACTGACTGTCTCAAAGCTTTCAATGTTGGTGATATGACATGAGGGATGAGATGCGGCCGTGAAAGATGAAACTTCAGATTTGATAGAGATACTCTGACGCAGACGTTTGGTTTTATCAACAAAAAATGTGTTAAAATCAGTAGCCAACTGAAGCTTACTGGATGATGGTGGTAAATTTGCCACGGTTGTCCTACCAAGTAGCTTGTTGGCAAGTTTGAACAGAGCTCTCAGATCATGTCCACATCCGTCGATCTTAGACTGGAGGTAAGAAACCCGAGAATCTTCAAGCGTACGGTGGTAAACATTGCATTGAATCTTGTACTCGGCGAAATCACAATGATCTTGAGATTTCAGTCATTTCCGCTCAGCTTTACGTCTTGCTTGTTTAGCTATCCTACAATTATTGGTGAACCAAGCAGGGGATGCATGATTTGAAACGGTCTTATATTTTAATGGGGCCAGTTCATCTCTAAGTAAGGTAAGTGTATTGTTGTACTGGGTTATTGCGTTGTTCACATCCATGTCATCACTAAAATTAGAGAGAGAATGCGCAATTCTCCGATCGAGAATGTTGATGTCAATGTTGTTAAATTTTCTAAAAGTCACAAATTTCTTGGCAGGTGCTGGTATGCGCGCATCGAGTGTAACGTGAAGAAAGAAATGATCAGACAAGGGATATTCATGAACCAGTGAAATTTTCACAAGATTAGGATTATTTGTAATGACAAGGTCTAATGTATGTCCTTGTTTGTGAGTGGAAGAATTTATCAGTTGAGTGAGATTAAGTGAATGAATTATATCCAGTAAACGAGCAGTATGTATATTACTCGGATCGTCTATATGAATGTTGAAGTCACCAGTATTGACAAGATTTGAAGATAAAGAATATTGTTCTAAAAGGGTCAAAATATCAGAGAAAAATTGCAGAGTGGGATGAGGCGGAGGTCGGTAGATTGTTAAAAGTGTGAACCTTTTAGAGACAGTTTTAATTACAGTCTCACATGCTTCGAAAGATTGAAACTGATCTAATCTGTTAAATACAGAGGGAAGATTAGATACCACGGCGAAACCACCACCTCTACCTGTAGACCGTGGAAATGAATGGAAGTTGTAGCCATCAGGCTTACAAGCCGTGATGATGGAACTGTCATTTTCTCTAAGCCATGTCTCAGTTATTGATACAACATCGATGCCATGATCGACAACGTACTGAACAAATTCGGTAGATTTATTGCAAATTGACTGTGCATTCCACACAGCAAGATTAACGTGATCAGGCGAAGTTTGTCTTAGTGTATAAAAACTGGTAGCAGAAGATGAGGAATGTGAACGAACAGGTGAAGTTGTTATGACCTTTGACTTGATCTGTCTACCTGCACGGCAACCACGCCTAGGGCGTAAAATATCAAACTCCTTCAGATTTTTAAAGGCAGTAGCTGCTACTCTAGCTTTATGGTTGGAATTCAAAGAAAGCAACATATTCCTACTGTATGTGATAGGCTGACTAGCACGACTATATACTAGAGAAGGCTTAAAACTAGGCCTAGGCCTAACAATAGCAGGCTGTAACATGGACTGTATAGGCACCGACAATGGTGACCACTCAAGCATTAATGGTAAGTCATGGCCTAGCCAATGGTGAAAATAAGGATTAAAAAATTGACTTGAAAAACGTAAATTAAAGACAGAGCGAAACATTGTAGTCTCAGATATTAAGGAGACAAACCAACAGCAGATTTTTAAGAAACAATCGTGCAAAAAGAGGAATTCCAGACGGTTTCCAAGACACTTGTATGGTGGCTGCTATTTGCAGCGCCGTAAATAAGGTCAGATTTATCACCAGACTTATATATAGGGGTAACGCGCGCTTACTTCATCCTGTCTGGGAACAAATCAGAAGAAAGTGAGAGATTAAAAATATGGGATAATGGGAAAGAAATAATGTTTGCAATGCATTTAATGAGTTTAGTATAAAAATCATCAATATCAGGAGATTTGTTGGGGTCAAAAGAGGTGAGTATTTTTATAATTTCAGCCTCATCAACCAGAGTAAATAATAATTAGTTAGGAGTTGGGTTAGGTAGGAAGTCTTTAAATGATTTGGTGGCATGGGGGATTTTGTTAGCAAGGGACGGTCCGATTTCTAGTAGTTTAGTATAAAAATCATCAATACCAGGAGATTTGTTGGGGTCAAAAGAGGTGAGTATTTTTATAAGTTCAGCCTCATTAACCAGAGTAAATAATAATTAGTTAGGAGTTGGGTTAGGTAGGAAGTCTTTAAATGATTTGGTGGCATGGGGGATTTTGTTAGCAAGGGACGGTCCGATTTCTACGAAGTGCTTATTAAATGAGTTGGAGATTTTTTGAGGATCTTGGGTCATTGTGCCATCACAATCTAGGGAGGTAACTGATTGTTTTTTGTTTTTTGTTTTTTTATTTAGCAGCAAATTAATGGTTTTCCATGTAGCTTTGATATTTTATGTTTGAGAAAAGTATTATGAAAGTGCTTATACTTGGCAATCTTAATTAGAGAGTTTAACTCGTTGCGGAATTGTTTGTAGGCTTTCTCGTTAGCGGAAGATGGGCGGTGAAGGAATTTAGCGTACAATTTGTGTTAATATTTGATAGATTTAAGTAATGCATTAGACATCCATGGCTTTATTTTTCGATCTTTTTTATTACATGATTTTGAAGTGGGAAATGCTTATCATAAAATGATTTTAGTGTGTTTTCAAAGTTGGAGTAAGCAATATTGGGATCATGGGTATTAATAACATTAGGTCATTGCTGAGCAGCCACTTCATGTCGGAATTTTTCTAGAGCTGAAGAGTTAAATTTTCTGGAGCTAGGCATGTATATTTCTTCCTTATCTGAGCCACTTGCACCATTAGAAATATAAGTAATATTAAAAACAGGTAAATGATTAGAAATATTACTATACAGTAATCCACTTAAGTTGGGATGTTCGACCTGATTGGTGATAATGTTTTCTAATAGGGAAGCAGTGGTTTTGGTGATACGAGATGGTCTGTGGATAAGGGGGAGGTAGTAGTTGCTAAACAGGGAGTTAACAAAATGGCGGTCGTCATTGTCCGATTCATGTTTGAGGATATCAATATTAAAATCGCCGAGGATATACACGATTTTATTCTCTCTTGATAGTGTGGATAGAATAGAGTCACGTTCATCAGTAAATTTTTTAGGGTCAAGGCATGATGATCTATAAATTGTACCAATAATAATGTTTTTTAAATGAGGCCTATTTATTTCAATAAAAATGGATTCACAAGTAGAAGGGAGTAGACTAAGATCATCTCTATAAGATCATCTCTATGGAAAATTGAAGGCCATCACGAACATACATGGCAACTCCACCACCGTCCTTGTAAGTTCTATGGATGGGGACAAAGTGAAAATTGGGGAGTTGAACTAGGGGATTATTAAATTTGAGCTATGTTTCACTTATCCCAATGACATCAATAGGTAAGTTAAGTGAGTTCAACAGTTGTTTAATTTGATCAACATTTTTTAGAATACTTCTGGAATGAAAATGAATGGTGGAAAAGCAGTCTTGTAATGAACTGGCAGGGAACTCACTGGGTTTATAATATTGGGATGTGCAAGGGTTGTTATTAGAGAAGAATTGTGTGTCTGGGTCAATATTGGAAGTAAATTCATCTTGGTTGTTCAAAAAAGGGGAATATGTAATAATTTTTTTTAAACATAAGTAAATAAATAAAGTACAAAAAGAAATACCAAGGATTCTACGGATTTTTTGAAAACAAAATAATAAAAAGTATCAAAAATTTCATGAAAGAAATAAATGTTGGAAGTATGGTACACCATACAAATCGGAAGAAACATATGATACCAAAAAAGAAGTGGCAAAGATTAAATAATACAAGATATATATACATGATATACAAGTACCAAAGCACAAAATATATATAGCAACGGTAATACCACAAGTGGAATAGCAACAGTAAAATATAATATCCAGCGAAAAGCAGGGATAAAATATAATAACGAATAATAATACTAATAATGAAGACAGTCCAACTGAGTTAATATAATAATAATATCAACAACAACAAAAATAATAATAATAATAATAATAATAATAATAAAACTAATAATATTAATAAAGATAATAATTATAATAGCAATAATTAAGACAATAATTGTAATGACAATAATAAGAATAACAACGAAATAACAAACAACAGCAACAATAGAAACAGGCCAGATTGTAATAATAATAATACAAAGAATAAAAGAATAATAATATTAAATGTCAATGTTTAAGATAAGTAAGCATAACAGTGTTAAAACAGTGTTTTAAAATAAGTAAGCATAACAGTAAAAGAAATCAATTATGAAAATTTAAAGAGAAACGGTATAACTAATAGTACTGTAGTACGCCAATAATTATAATAACAACATAATTGTAATAATAATAATAATAATAATAATAAGTAATAATAATAATAATAATAATAATAATAATAATAATAATAATAATAATAACAATAATAATAATAATAATAATAATAATAATAATAATAATAATAATAATAATAGGCCTAATAGCAATAACACTAATAACAACAATGATTAGATGATTGTTCATTCCGTAGATCGTGTTCAGTTTTAGTGGAGAAACGGGCTATTGTCTTTTGATATAATTAAGTAATTGATAACATCCCGAATACGTGTGCATTAAAGTGAGTTTCAAACAGAAATTTGGAAAGTTTAAATGGATGGAGTTAGTAAGTTAATTTAGCTGTTCGTTGATCGGAGATGGCGAAGATCTGCATCAGTAGATGGAAACTTTATTTTTGTTTTTTAGAAGACAAATGATCCTACCGTCCTGTGTCCATGTTGCTTCGACCGTGTCGTTGACTGTTGCTTGGTGAAGGAGTTTCAATCTTTGTGCAGTGAGGTTTTCGGTAATTGAGTAGCAGGATTGTTTGAGATGCCTTTTATTGCAAAACACGTATGACCGGGTGCGATATGAGACAAATTTGATGATGATGGCCTTGGCTTACATTTGGTTGGTTGATCGTTTGCAGAAAATTTCTTTCTGCCCAGTCAATGCGTACGATCAAAATCGCCTAGCTCAATATCATCAGAGATCCTGGTCTTCAAAGTAGAAATGTATGATATACCAGGAATGCCCATACATAAAAATTCTATAGAACTTTATAGACCTTCTATAGAGACTAATCAAATTCTACAGAAATTAGTATTTTCTATAAAATTGTTTTATAGAGGAACTAGTTTCTATAGAATTCTATAACATACTATATACACATATTTAATGTAATTTCTATATTTTTAATTTTTTTTGTTTCATTCAATATTTTATTGACACATTCGTGTCTGACCAGTATATTCCTACCAACATGTTTTACATCTTGCATATTCTATAGAAATTCTATAGAATATTCTATACAAATAATATGAAAAGTTCTCTATAATAAAACTATAAAATTTCTATATTTATTCTATAAAAAATTATAGTCCTTACCTGTATTTTTTTTAAATGTATTATAACAATTTTATAGGGATTATCTCTATAGGAACATATAAAATCTATATAAAGTATAACATATATGAAATTTCAATATAAATTTATTTATTTATAGTATATTCTGCAGAACTGTATAATGTTCTAAACACAGTCATTTTAAAAACTGTAACTTTTAATAGTCTATAGAAAATATATATAAAATATATATAAAAACTCTATGGAAACGTTTATAATTTGTAAAATTGTTTCTCTATAGAAACTATATATAAAATGAATACGAACGCTATGGAAGTTATTATCTGTAAATGAAATATTAAAAATTATGTGTAAATTATATCTATAAAAAAAATAATGCATAGAATATATATATATAAAATCTATTCAAACTCTATGAAAAATTTCTGGAACCGCTAATACATTGGTAGCCTTATGGCAACTTTACTTTATTGGGGGTGGGAGCGGGTCTGTAGTCCCCTAAACTTATTCCTCACCTATTCACTTAACAACAATGCTTTAAGATTGAAAGCAAAATGTTATCAACAGCCTAACCTGTTTACTGTGATAGCCCACCTACCAACCAATTAATGTTAGTGTCGAAATGCACAAATCTCTGATTGGTCACTTCATCAAGTGACCAATCAGCTGATTTGAATTGTCACTTCATGTAGAGCCAACGGAAGCGGTAGTATTTTGAATTTTTCTCTGGACTTTCATGATGTTAGGCAGTTATAAACATACTCCTTGGAAGTATTTTAGCAGTACTGTATTCACTATCAAGTGGTAAGATTTTTTGTTTTATTATTTAGTTAGTTTACTACTCTAGCAGGCCACTAGCCTCCTCCTAGGCCTAGAGTATTTAGATGAAGGTTTGAATGAAGAGGCCTGGCCCAGCCTAAGGCCTAGGCCTAGGCTAGCTGTACCGGTAATACTAGCCTAGCCGCTGTACAGAGACAGACAGAACTGATGTTCTCTGTTCTCTCTAGGCCATTGAGGATATAGGGCTAGGCCTAGAACCTGGGCCTTTTGTTGGCCTAGCAAAGCTGTAAGATAATTGCCCCATAGTGACCCAGCATGCCATAAGAAGAGTGGTAAATTGCATTTGGGACGTGTCCTCACTAATCTACGTCCATGATGCTTTAATAAAATAATTTGTTTAGGGTTAACCGGGGAGGGGGTGGTGTATTAAATAATCGGTTTACGGTTAACCGTGGGGGGGGGGGGGGGTGTGTAAAAAAAGAATTGTATCATTATTTGCAGAAAGTTAATGTAATCAAAAGGCCTATACTAACAACATAAATGGTGACTTTATTTCAGGATACTCAAGTCTTGGTAACTACTGTAAGTGAAAACTCAATCCAGTCAACTCAATCATTGTAGTAGGAAAGCATTAATGTTTGTTTGAAGACGTATCTGTTAAGGACAGAAAATTACCTGACTTACTAAAGGTGAATATAATGTTTTGTTGATGTTTTATTTTTACTGTCCTGTACTATTAATTATTAACAACATGCTATTTGATGATGCTGTCGTTTACACGATAGAGTTTAATCAAATTTAATGTGTATATATTAGGCCTATTATAGGCCTTGGATATTGAAATTGTAATGTAGGCTAAGCTGTTTTGAAAACTAAAAAAAAAATAATAATTTTCTTTTGATTAAAAAAGAAGTAACTGCTAGTCTGTCAATAGCTACATATATGTATATTACTCCTATTTTAATACAATAATAAAGGGATGTAATACATTTAATAGCAGTTTCTATAATATGCACTCTATATACTGTATAAGTTTACCATTATTATTCTTTTTAAAGATTTTGTTTTGTATATCTTTCAGCAAGAGTGAAACTCCGAGAAATGTAAGTACAAGTCACAGTGATTTAATATTTCAAACTAGATTTGTTCAACGGCATAATTCATACTAATTTAGCTTGGTACCATCGGACAAGAAAGGGCATGGTTATGGACAGTTGCTGCTGCAATATCACAAAGAATGCTGGTTTATGCACACCTGTAACACAAATGGTTCTTGAATATTGTTTTATATAATAAACTCTTGTAATAGGAAAACATTACAAAAAAAATGCTTATTTAAACAGGACTGTAAAAGCAAAGAACTGTAGAATAGCCTTGAATTTGAGGTACAGTATGTTTAGCAGTAAGACATTAGCAAAACGATAATATATGAAGGGGTATGCTAGTAAATGAGACCTATGGGAAGTAATGTCCCTACTGTATGATGTTTGTTGGTGTTTTAAATTAAAGAAATTATGATTTGTATATGAACTCATAGTGTATTTTGTAAGTCTGCAGAAGTTGATTAAAGCCATTGTTACCAATTGGAACTGGGACCATTGCAAACCAATTGAAATTGGGGCCAGTTAAAGTTGAATTTTCCAAAAAACACACAACACCCACATTTTTTTTTTTATAGAATACACAGATTTTCTATATAAAATCGTTCAATTTATATACACTTTCTATACAATTGTATAGAATTTCTATACGCATATTAAATGTATTTTTATAGGTTTTTTTTCTATAAAATGTTTATAGATTTATAAGTGGTTTTTATAAAATTGTTTATAGATTTTCTATAGTTTTTTAAAGGTTTTTTTATATAAAATTTTCATAGACTTTCTATAGATTTTTAATAGAATTTTCATAGTTTTTTTATATAATTTTTATAGATTTTAAAGTTTTTTAATATAGTTTTAATATATTTTTATAGAGTTTTTATAAATTTTTTATAGCTTTTTTATATATTTTTAATAGATTTTTAATATAGTTTTAATAGATTTTTAATATAGTTTTAATAGATTTTTAATATAGTTTTAATAGATTTTTAATAGACTTTTTATAGTAAGCTTCTATAGTTATTTCTATAGAATTTTCTATAGATTTTCTAAACAATTATGCTATAGACATTCTATAGTTTTTTTTGATAGAATTCTATAGAATTTTTTTGTATGGGTGATAACTGAAGCAATTTAAGATACTTTTTTTAGCGAGCTCAATTAACACGTCACTCTGTTCATCGACATCAAAATAATAATGAAAACTACTTGAACAAGTTCACAATGATATCAATGAGAGAACTAAAATTTATATGCTCATAAAGTTGAATTTTGCATTATAATGTCCACAATAAACATGTTTTAATGCTCTGCTTTCAAAATAATCTAAAACTGTTCATACCATGAGCATCCAATTTTCTATGCTCTTTCAACATTTGAAATCAATTTAATTTGTTTGAAAATGTCGAAAATTAAACATGCGAGTAACGCTCTGTTAATGTCTTTCTGATCTTTGTTGGTTTTCCGAACATGATTCTTGGCTATTTTAACCGCTGACTCAACCTTCCTATTTGATTGTGGGTACTCAGGTGAACTAGTCATTGTGGTAAACTGATATTCTGTAGCAAAGTTCGCAAATGCAGAAGAATTAAATGGTGGTTCATTATCACTCTGCACAGTGAGAGGAATGCCATGTCTGGAGAAACGTCACTTGAGTCGTTTAACAACAGACTCTGTGTTTGTGTTTGTCATATGATCAAGTTCGAAATAGTGAGTATAATAATCTACCGTTACAAGGTATTGATGACCAACCAATGACATGAGATCAATTCCAATCTTCTCCCAGGGTCTATCTGGAAGTTCATGATGGAGCAGTGGTTCTTTTGGCTGCTCAGATTGGAATGTATTACATATGTCACATTTGGACAAAAATTCCTTCAAATCAGCTGTGATTCCAGGCCAAAAAACTGTCTCTCTCGCGCACCGAAGTGTATTTTCTACTCCAAGGTGGGCGCTATGTAGTTCTTTTCTTATGGCTTCGCAAGCTGATTGGGGAACTACACATCTGTCTCCTTTGAAGACTATATTGTCCAATATGGAGAGTTCATGTTTACAGTGAAAATATGGCTGTGCTTCTGGTGGGACTTGACTTCGATGTTCTGGCGAACCCGAAGTGATCAGGCGTTTGACAGTGTGTAAACCTGTGTCACTTGCCGTAGCAGTTTGAATATCTTGCAACTGTTTCTCAGGGACTGCAAGATCGGCAAGATGGATGCTTTCTGGTATTTGATCAACAGTTCCTTGATCAGGAAAACCTGAGCCAAGAGTTCTTTCTCAATTTGAGAATAGTTGCGTTCGGAACTAGTCAAGGCTCTACTGGCGTACATAACTGGAAATCCATCTTGAAGGAGTGCAAATCCGAGACCGGCTTCGGAAGCATCACCTTGTCATTCAGTTTGACAATTGGTATCAAAATACTTGAGAACTGGTGCCTGAGACAATGCTTGTTTGATATTGTCAAAAGCTTGTTGACACTCTAGTGACCAATTCCAAAGTTGGTTCTTGTGAGTGAGTTTGCGTAATGGTTCATTTAACTGTGACAGGCTGGGAATAAACTTGGCAAGATATTTAACCATTCCATTCAGTCTCTGTACTGCAGCTGGGGAGATGGGTGTTGGCATGTTGAGCACCGCGTGAACTTTGCCAGGATCTGGTTTGAGGCCATTCGCTGTCAACACATGTCCAATGAAGTGTAGCGATTCTAGCGTGTACTCAAACTTATCCTTCTTTAGCGTAATGTTCATTTTGCGACAACGCTCAAGAAACGCTTTCAAGTTATTGTCATGATCATGTGTTGCTTCTGCAAGTGTTTCACCACATCCAGTGATAAGAACATCATCCGCGACAATATGTATGCATTTGAGTCCATCCAGTGACTGATTCAGTTTTTGCTGAAAAAGTTCGGGGCGGGACTTATGCCTTAAGGCATTCGCAACTATTTCCAACTGCCCCACGGAGACTGGAATGTAGTCAGCTTCGTAGACTCGTTATCTAGCTTACACTGGGGAAAGCCTTCATTCAAATCGGCTTTGGAAACCACTTTACACCAATTCAGGAAGTATATCCTCTACGACAGGGATAGAATAGTAGCTACGTTTAAGTGCGCAGTTGAGAGGCTGGGGGTCAATATATTTTGATCACACTTGTTAAAGCAAAACCTCCCATATATGACATTAGTTTGCCCACAGCAGTACTATTCCCATAATTTTAATATGGTATCTAGATTACCTCTATCTTTCTCAGTTTTAAAAGGTAGACCAGTGTGGATTTCCAGAGCTTTCTGACCTATGCATGTGACAAAATGCAGCGACACGGTATTCCATTGCCTGATTTTTTAGACCAGTCAGTAGCTCGTACGACGTCCACAGCTGTTTAAGAATATGCCAATTGGTTTTCATATTCCCTTTTAAAGGGATATTGGGAGGGAGAGGAATGTAATATTTTTTTTATATTTATTTTATGTGATAATGCACAGTACTGGAATGATGTACGAATCTATCGGGCTTGTTGAACAACGTAACATTTAATGCAATATGGTTAACATCAAATCATTACAAGGCAAGCGTAGCAACGCTTGTATGAAGCGCCATAGGCGTATCATCACATCCTCCTCGTTAGTAATTAACTCAAAACAAAACATACTTTTTTTTACACTGAATTGGTAACTGTCAGTGTACGTTTAATTTTTTTAAATAAGGGATTACTAGTTAAACTGTTAAATGCTGCTTGTGAAGGTGTTTTCTGTTCCGTCTTAGTATACCTCCTGTTTGAGTTTCCACCCAATACGATCTTAGTTCCTTGCAGATTTTTCGCACAGTTGCTTTCGTCCATGTCCTTGTTTTGGGGGTCTTGTACTGTCACTTGTTCTTCTTTCAATGGAACAAGGTTTTTAACTCCACTTTTGTCATGATAGGTCTTTTGCATGGTTTGTCGTTGGATTAATCTGTTGGTGACTTTGTTGTGGTGATCGTCGTCTTGATACCTTATTGGTAGATTGCTCCTCAATTTCCGGTTATACAGTAATTCTGTGGGTGGTGGAAGGTAACTGTCTATTGGTGGTGTCCTCAAGCACAATAGTGCTAGGAATGGGACTGAGCCACTGTCTTTTGACTTCTGTAGTGTACTTTTTATTGCTTGTATGGCTTTTTCAATGAACCCATTACTTATTGGGTAATGTGGGCTGGATGTCACATGTTCAATCTCCCACTCGTTTACAAATTGTCGGAACTCGGTACTGCTAAAGCGTGGACCGTTGTCACTTACAACTTTGTTTGGAATACCATGCTCACTGAATATAGATTTGGTCATCTTGATGACTGCCATGCTGGTGCTTCGTTTTCCAATCTTTTTTACAAAAGGAATTTTGGAGTAATAATCAGCGACAGCAAGGTGTTCATCACCATGAAAATAAAACAAGTCTTCTGCGACGACTTGCCAAGGTCCTTCAGGTATTTTTTGCTGCATTAATGGTTCTGGTTGCTGTGATTTCATGTGCGATTGACACACAGTGCAACCTTTAACTCCTCTATATCACGGTTAATTCCGGGCCAAAACACAGATGATTTTGCTCGTAGTTGAGTTTTTACTATACCTTGGTGGTCGATGTGGAGTTTTTTCAGGATGCCTGGTCTTAGTTCCTCTGGTACTAGTATTCTGTTTCCTTGTAGTATAAGGTCATTTTTTTTTTATTTACTAATATCTTTAGCCAGGATGACACAATCCTCGATTGTCAATCGAGGATTGAAAATCATCTGTGTTTTGGCCCGGTCATCTTCGATTGTTAATGTATCCGTGCTTGACCAGAAAATTCTGATGCATTTTGGTAACTTCTTTGGTTCATCTGGCCATCCGTGTATGATGGTGTCCATTAGGGGTTTAAGAGTTACACTTTGTTTGGTCTCTTCTTGCATCTCTGCTAGCTTTTCAGTTGTAAACTGTATGATGTGGATAGTATCTCAGGGCCATATGATGGGTTGAGTCTTGACATTGTGTCAGCTAGTGTCATATCTTTCCCTGGTCTGTAAGTTATTTGCACATCATATGGTTGTAGCTGGATCATCAGTCTTTGGAGTCTTGGCGGAGTGTTTGCTAGGCTTTTATGTTGGTTGTTTTCCACTGGTTTATGGTCAGTTTCCACGGTGAATTTGGTTCCATACACATATGTGTGGAATCTTGTACAGCTAATAACTCACGCTCAGTTAGGGCTTTGCTGGCAAAGACAATTGGTTTTCCATTCTGGATTAGAGCTGCGCCTAAACCCTTCATTGAGGCATCTACTTGGATAACTATAGGCTTATTTGGATGGAAATAGGTCAGAGTACAGCTTTCTGTTATGAGTGCCTTAACCTTTTCAAACGCTGTTTGATGTGATGCTGTCCATTGCCATTCCGAGTCTTTTCTGGTTAGAGCTCTGAGTGTGTCTGTGTGTTCTGCCAATTTCGGTATAAATGGGGACATGTATTGCACAATCCCTAAGAACTGCTGTAGCTCAGTGACAGATGTTGGGCTTGGTAGTGAGTGAATGTCTTGTACCTTCTGTGGATCTGGATGTATACCATCTGCATCGTAGAGACATCCGAAAAAAAAATTCACGCATTTTGTTTTGATGTCACACTTTCCAATGTTGAAGAAAATACCGTATCTTCTTGCGATCTTCATGAGATTGTGTAAGTTTTGGTCGTGTTCTTTGTCGTTACGTCCATCGGCGATTCCAATTGTTCCATGGCACTGCTCAAGGATGTCCATCTTTTCTCGGAATAGTCCTGTGACACCTTGAGTCCAAATGGTAGGCGATTAAACCTGAATCTTCCAAATGGGGAGTTGAATGTAGTTAGAAGGCTAGACTCTTCTGTTAGCATAATGCTCCAGTAACCATGATTTGCATCGAGTTTGCTAAAGATTTTAGCTTCGCTTAGCTTATGAGTAGGCTCCTCCAGCGTTGGTGTTTTGTGTTACGTTCTTTTCATTGCTCTATTCAAGTCTTTTGGGTCAAGACAGGTTCTTAGCTTCCCATTGCTCTTGCGGCTGTATGTTATTAATGAGACCCAGTCAGTTGGTTCGGTGACTTTAGTTATTATTCCATCATTTAGCATATTGGTCAGCTCTGCTTCAAGCTCATTCTTGAGGTGAATTGGGTTTTTTCTCGGAAGGTGGATTACAGGCTGTGCATTTTCGATTAAGGTGATGTTGGATCTCCTGGAAATATTCCAATTATTTAAATCTGTCAGGGTATTGATTCTGTAGATCGTTTCTGTCTTTGACTGGTACATCACCATTTAGATTTGTATCGAGTGCACAGTTGATAGTTACAAGTTTCAAATCTCTGGCATCAGGTAGTCCTAGGATAGCTGGTCCCTCAACACTGCATACATAGAAATTTAAACATGACCACTACTGGCCACTGAATTTGGCTTGTATCTGGACTGTGCCATGTTGCGGGATTATTGTTCCATTGTATGCTGTCAGTTTCTTGGTTTTCCCCGGCTTGGGGAGCCTATTTGTGTCGACGCTTTCCGGTACCATCTGTTTATATATGCGCAGGGGCAGTATGTTACCCTGGGCACCTGTATCCACTTTTACGGAAAGAGTGTGTATTACATTTCTCTGTGGTATTTGAATTTTTAAGTCAGCATACAGTTCATCACAATTGTCGTCTATTCCAACTGAACTGAACGACAACTCTTCAAACTGCTCCATGACATTATTATCTGTATCCAAGGCAATGGCATTCATTCATCTTCTATTGTTATATGAGCTTCTGTTTCTAGACCTACTCCTGGAATACGATCCTTTTGGTCTTTCACGACTCTTAGATCTGTTCCTTTGGCTTCTGCACATGCTCTGCCAGTGTCTTTTTTTCCCAACATCCTTTACATGTTGTGCCATAGGCTGGGCACTGTTTAGTTGCATGGCTGTTAAAACAATTACCACACCTTGCTTGTTGTCTTACTGAGTGAACAAGGGCACCTGTTTCTCTCATGTGGTCGGACTTCGTGATTTCTGCTGCTCTGTACAATTGCAAGGCTTTCTGTAAGATCAGATCATGCTCTCTGAGAAGGCGTTCACGAATTTGGTTGTCTGGGTTACGGCATATGATTCTATCTCTTATCAATGAGTCGGTTAAGTCACCAAACTCACATGATTTTGAATTGTTTCTAAGTTCCGAGGCATATTGTCAATTGTTTCTGAGGAAAGTTGGGATCTAGTGAAAACATTATGCCTTTCGAATGTCACATTATTTTTAGGTGAAGAATACTCTCAAATTGTTCGAGCACTTTTCTAAGCTTCATGTTGTCTCCGTCGTTATAAAAATTAAATGTGTTGTACACATCTAGTGCACGTTCTCCAATAATATGTAGCAACATTGATGTCTGGGTAGTGTCATCTTTTCTGGCGGTACCAGATGCAGTATTATACAACAGAAATCTTTGTTTGAATTTTTACAGTTTTCTGACACATTGCCTGTTAGTTCTAGTGGGTCTGGCTGTGTTAAATAAGCCATTTGTGTTTATTATGTAGGCTATGACAGTTGAATACGGTACACCGCTGGTACGTAACTACACGCTCGTTAGCTAGAGACGATTCACTACACGCTGTGTAGGCTAGGGACGACTAATGGCACTACACCCTGTGTAGGCTAGTATTCACTACACGCTGTGTAGTCTAGTCTAGGGAAGTTCGGCTACGGTACGGTACTGACCTGACTTAACTTCACGACGCTGTGTTTGTCTAGTTGACCGCTGCTACCATCTAATGTTGTTTTTATTGCTATTTTATGTGATAATACTTAATGATGTACGAATCTATCGGGCTTATTGAACAACGTAACATTTAATGCAAAATGGTTAACAACAAATCCTTGTCTAAGCATTACAACGCGAGCGTAGCAACACTCGTATGAAGCGCCATAGGTGTATCATCACAAGGAACCCTAATACTCTTGATACCATGACCTTGAGGAGGTACATTACCATCTGCATCTGGTGGAGGTTGCTCATTTTCATCACCAACAACCATGTTTATTTATCTATTATTTATCTAAACTAGTTATGACTTTAGCCACAATCGCACTGGACTTTTTTTGGTAAAACTAACCAACATGTTGGCTAGTTTTACCATAATTAGTCCAGTGCGAACAGCACAGGAAGTTTACCTGACAGGAAACTTACCCAAGTCGCGCGGTTAATTTAACCGAGTCCCGCTTGCCCAGGAAAACTGACCAGGTTAGTTTTACCTAGCAGGAAAGTCCAATGCGGACAGCGCGAGTCGGGTAAACTTCCCAAGTCATCACAGTGAATGACCTTCCTCAGGCTGTCAGGCAATTACGCATGAGCTGTGACCTGGAATAAAACGTCACACACAAACATCTTGATTAATTTCGCGCGTGTTTGCTAGTGTCTTGATTTTGAGTAATTTTGTCATTTTTTCCACTTGTTTACTCGGTTTGTTTCAATGGCCGATTTATATGGAGCATTATTAAATGTGCTAGGTCTTGGTGAGACAATCCATCGCGATTATCAACAAATACAACATGATGTGGGCCTAGTCCAAAGAAACACTGTCACAACAAGGAGAACGTCGCTTTCGTTAATTGTTTTGCCACACATACCGGAAGTGAACGTCACGATTTAGCGCCCCCAATAGTTGAATTTGTACGAATGGTTAGTTTCACCATGGCCTGTGGTAAAACTAACCACGTCGATAAATCCCAGTGCGAACGACAGGAAGTTTACCCATTGGAATGTTACCCACAGTCTCGGTAAAAATTTCCCTATTTTAAATCCAGTGCGATTGCGGCTTAATAATGACCTTCAAAGAAAGGATACTAGACTTAGACTTGACTTTAAGCTTATCAACTATTTTACAAGTATACTCCAAGCTTATATTACACTCACTACAAGATTCCCACTGTGTAATATGACTTTACCGCGATCCACAGCACATCAATGACTCGATCGCGGGGACACTTGGCGATCAACGCTATACGTACAGTCACAAGTTTCCGAACGCTAGGCATACACAAAAGTCCGAGTTTATCACTGAAATGGAGCACGATGAAATGTAAATCCGACACTTCTGGATACCATGTTTTATGTTCTAAATTCTATGGTTAAAGACATTAATATAATAATCTGGATAGCCTTCAATATTAGCTTCATTAACATACTTTATTAACTCGTGTTGTACAAAGCATATCGCCATCTTGTGTCTCAGCATACAATGCGGGATCGAGCTACCTAAGGGCGTGCGATCATTAATCATACATGCAACAATACACAATGTTAGCAATGTAGTTATGGTAATCTCTTACGCATATGATACCACTGCCTATTATTTAACTAAAAATATTACTAATTTACCCCATACTTTAAACTTTCAAAATTAAATTTAATGAATGGCTTAAAGCAAATAAACTTGTTCTAAATGTAAATTAAACAAACTTTGTTATTTTCCAACCACAAAACATATTAAAACGGTCACAAAATATCTAT